ATACACACACACAGACTGACATATACACACACACAGACTGACATATATATACACACACACACAGACACACACACAGTCTCGTAGCTAACTAGGAGGCCATTTCATCCATCGTGTCCATGCAGACCGAAAGAAAAAGAGATTTTTGGTCCAAACTGATTCCTCATCTGAGGTAGGATGCTCTGGCGAGGGAGGGAGTGCAGCAAAGGTTTACCATACTAGTTACTGGGATGGCAGGGCTGACGTGCAAGGAGAGACTGGATCAGTTAGGATTATAAAAACCAAAAGAACTGCGTATGCTGTAAATCAGGAACAAAAACAAAGTTGCTGGAAAAGCTCAGCAGGTCTGGCAGCATCTGTGAAGGAGAAAACAGAGTTAATGTTTCGGGTCCGGTGACCCTTCCTCAGAACCCTATTAGGATTATATTCACTGGAATTTAGAAGGATGAGGGAGAATCTCATATAAACCGATAACATTCTTACAGGACTAGACAGGGTAAACACAGGAAGGGGAGTCCAGAACTAGGGGTCACAGTCTAAGGATATAAGGCAGGCCATTTAGCATTGAGATGAGGAGACATGTCTTCACCCAGAAAGTTGTGAGCCTGTGGAATTCTCTGCCACAAAAGCCGATGTTAAAACAGTGAATATTTTCGAGGAGGAGTGAGATATAGTTCTTCAGGCTAAAAGGATCAGAGGGTATGGGCAGAAAGCGGGAACAGAGGACTGAGTTGGATGATCTACCATGATCATACTGAATAGCAGTACAGGCTCGAAGGGCCGAATGTCCTACACTGTACCTATTTTCTGTTTCCAGCTCTTGATCTATAGCCCTACTTATCCAAGTCTTTTATAACTGTTACTGAAAGGAGGGACATATTGGTGCAGGTTCCTGCTTTGCACCCTTCAGAACAAACACAGGAATGCCAAATTTCAAATGATCACAACAATTTATAGGTGATAACCTATTGTCTAGACCGGACAATGTAATGTCCTTGGCTCCAGTCAATCAGATCCCATCCTTGTCCCTTCCCCAGGCACCCTGTCTTCAGTCCTGCAATTCTCTCCATAATCAACACTGCCACCCCTCTTTCTCATCTCTCCTGAACACCTTGTATCCAAGAATATTTAACACCAGAGTTACAGCATGGAAACAGACCCCTTTGTCCAACTTGTCCATGCCAGCCAGATGTCCTAAAATAATCTAGTCCCATTTGCCAGCATTTGGCCCATATCCCTCTAAACCCTTCCTATTCATATACCCATCCAGATGCCTTTTAAATGTTAATTGTACCAGCCTCCACCACTTCCTCTGGCATCTCATTCCATTCACGTACCACCCTCTGTGTGAAAAGATTTGCCCCTTAGGTCCTTTTTAAATCTTTCCCCTGCACCTTAAACTTATGCCCTCTAGTTCTGGACTCCCCTACTTTGGGAAAAAGACCTGGGCCCTATCCATGCCCGTCATCCTATAAGGCCACCCCTCAGCCTCCAACACTCCAGGGGAAAATAGCCCCAGCCTATTCAGCCTCTCCCTATAGCTCAAACCTTCCAACCCTGGCAATGTCCTTGTAAATCATTTCTACACCCTTTCAAGTTTAACAACATCTTTCCTATAGGTTATGCCCTTACTTGAGGCAGGTCTCAGTAATAGCTACTATATCATATTTTCACTTGCCATCTGTGTGTATAACTCAGCAAACTTATGTTGCCCATCCCTAATTGCCCTTGCTCAGCTATTTCTGAGGGCATTTAAGAGTCACATGTAGGTCAGACCAGGTAAAGATGGCAGATTTACTTCTCTAAAGGGCATTAATGAAGCAGATGGGGCTTTACAACAGTTGGGAATGGTTACACAGTCATCATTAGATTCCTAATTCCAGATTTTGTTTTTTTTAATTGAATTCAAACTCCATGGCTAGAATCGAACCCAAGTGCCCAGACCATTACCTAGGTCTCGGGATTACTATTTTAGTAATAACACCATTAGCCCATTGCCACCCTCTATATAGGGATATCTCCATATCCATCAATATCATTGCAACCATAAGCCCCTTACGATGTTATACAATATGAAGGCAAATAGCCCTAGGCTGTTTGAAGAACACAAAGAGCTTTCAATAACAATCAGGGGGAAATGATGTTTTTTTTATCAGAGTGGCAAGGTATTAGCATAACATGAATAATAAATCAAATTTGATCTGCCTTTTGACAGCTACAGTGCAGAGGAACAGAAATAACACAAATTAAACAATATGTGGCTGACAAATACAATACAACACAAACTAAAAGGCAGCATCTCCCAAAGTATCCCAGAGGAGGTCTCACCATCAACATCCGTTAACCACCGAAAACCGACATTCACAACAGCAGTGTGTCCCATCTACAGGGGCACTGTAAAACCACAAGACTTAGGAGCTGAAGCAGGCTATTCAACCCATTGAGTCTGTTCTATCATTCAATGGGATCGTGGCTGATCTGATACTCCTCATCTCCACTCTACTGCTTTTTCCCCATAACCCTCGATTCCCTTCCTGACTAAAAATCTGTCTTTCTCAGCCTTGAATATACTCAATGACCCAGCCTCGACAGCCCTCTACAGTAAAGAATTCCACTGATTCACTCCCCTCTGAGAGAGGAAATTACTCCTGATCGCTGTCTTAAACTCTGTCCGTGATGTCCTAGCGATGTTACCACTGGACTATTAATCCAGAGACCAAGGTTAATGTTCTGGCAACCCAGGTTTGAATCTCACCACAGCAGATGGTGGAGTTTAAATCCAGTGAAAATGTGGAAGTAAGAATCTTATGACCATTGTCATTGGGAAAAATCAATGGTTCGCTAATGCGTCCCAACAGAAGGAAATCTGCCATCCTTACCTGGTCTGGCCTACATGTGACTCCAGACCCACAGCAATGCAGTTTAGGGAATAGGCAATAAATAGCGGTGTGCAGCGATTTCCACATCCCTGAGAATGAATTATACTAAAAAGGGCAACGCTTGCTCTGAGATTGTGTCCTCTGCTCCTAGATTCTCCCATAACCACTTCCATCTAGAAGGAAAAGGGCAGCAGATACATGGAACACCACCCCCTGCAAGTTCCCCACCATCCTGACTTGGGAATATATCGCCGTTCCTTCACTGTCGCTGGGTCAAAATCCTGGAATTCCTTCCTTAAGGGCATTGCGGGTCTATCTACAGCACATGGATTGCAGCGATTCAACAAGGCAGCTCACCCACTAATCACTCCAACAGGGTACCTCAGAGATCGGTCTCCTGGTCAATGCAGGTAACACTGATGGCCTAAATATCTCCCCTCGAGGATTGCGCAGGAGATTCCAAACGCTGAGTATTGATCTCAAAGGTGCTCCAGTCAGGGAAAAAATACCCAGGTGGAGAATGAAAATAGATTACTCATTGTTAAATACTTTCTCCGGTTTTTGCGTGATATATGTAAAAATAGGAACTGACAATTGGTGGAGAGGAGTGTAAATATACATGCTTTGGCTAAGAGATGTGAATCTTCCAATGAGTTCATGATGAAACAAACACAGAGTGTGCTGGAGAAACTCAGCAGGTCAAGCAGCCTCTGTGGAGAAAGATAAAGAGTAAATGTTTTGAGATGCATCTGACTCTTCTTCAGAATGATCAGCTCAGCCCTGAACATGGTGACCTAATAGTATTATCCCTACACTGGTCATCCAGAGACCCAGATAACATCCTTGGATATGAGTTCAAATCTGACCATGGCAAATAAAAAATCTGGAGTTAAGAGTCTAATGATCAACGTGCTGTTAATATTTGTTAGGGGGATAACCCATTTAATGTCCTTCAGGGAAGGAAGTCTGTCATTTTTACCTGGTCTGGCCTACATGTGCCTCCAGATCCACAGCATTATCATTGACTCTTAACTGTCCTCTGGGTAATAAATAAATAACCCACATCTTCTGGACAAATATTTTTAAAAAGTCATCCATCATGTTATCTCTGTTTCACTCTCTACTGATGGTGGCCAGATCTGCTGAGTTTCTCCAGCATTCTCTCTATGCATTTCAGGTTTCCAGCACCTGTAGTATTTTGTTTTTATTATATTATGTTTTATCATTTAGGCTAAGGATGAGTGCGATTTATTCCCAATTAGCTGAGGGTCACCATGGAAACAGACAGCTCAGCTGACCAATGGAGAGGTGGGAGGCACAGTATTTGGAGGCAGGAGGTCATGTGACAAATCCTCGAGGAATTTATTCAGTAGTTGGCAAACTAAAGGAGGGGGAACTGAGTTGAGTGGCTTTCTTTCATGGCTAGATAGTAAAGGCACCAGGAGATATAGAGACAGTGTGGGAAAATAGTGTTGGGGTCGAACTGCATCACGATTTGGTTAAATGGGCAACCCTATGGGTGGAATGGTGGCTCAGTGGTTAACACTGCTGCCTCAAGATACCATGGACCCAGGTTCGATTCCAGCCTCGGGCATCTGTCTGTGTGGAGTTTGTACATTTTCCCCGTGTCTGTGTGGGTTTCCTCCCACAGTCCAAAGATGTGCAGAGTTAGGTGGATTGGGCATGATAAATTATTCATAGTCTCCAGGGGTGTGGAGGCTAGGTGGGTTAGCCATGGGAAACGCAGCATTAGAGGGATGGGGAAGGGGGGAACTTGATCCGAGTGGGATGCAGTTTGGAGGGTCAGTGCAAACTCAATGGGCCAAATGGCCTCTTTCAGCCTTGTGGGGATTCCAATGCCATGGCCAACCGTCCAGATACTGGGCATTAATCCCCCCCCCCCCACACACACACACACACCCCCGCCTCCAATATTCTGACTGTAACTGTTCTCTCTTTGTCGGCCTGCCCAAGACTTCCACAATTTTCCATCTCTGATCAGGATTATCGTGAACTATTACATTTTTTCTTTTTAAATCTCTTTTATAAGTGGGTGACAAAACAGGTCTAGTTACCCAAATGTGTGAAGAGGTTCCTGGCAACTTGAAGTAAGGCCTGCAGAGAAAGGGAGAGAGAAAGAGAATAGGTTTTAGTAACAGTTTTGTTATTAATATGGTCAACAGGCAAACCAGAGTTCACTGTTATTGGGCAGAAGGAAAGTGTGAGCCACTCCCCCATACTATTGTTCCAGTTCAGAAGAAAGGTAGTTGGAGTTGACGTGTTCGTGCTGCTTTCTCCCCATAGGTACTGCTAGATTTGCTGATTTAGAGTCATAAATATTTTCAGCATGGAAACAGGCCAAGCTGCCCAGTTTTCAAAATTAAACTAGTCCCATTTTCCTGTGTTTGGTCCATATCTCTCTGTACCTATCCCATCCATGTACCTGTCAAAATGTTTCTTAAATGACAAAATTGTACTCACCTCCACCATTACCACTGGCAGCTCGTTCCAGACACGCACAATTCTCTCAGTGAAAAAATTGCCCCTCTAGACCCTTTTGCATTTCTTCGCTCTCACCTTAAATCTCTGCCCTCTGGTTTTAGACTTCCCAACCTGGGGAAAAGCTGTTGGCTATACACTTTATCTGTGCCTCTCATGATTTTATAGACCTTTGTAAGGTCACCCCTCAGTCTCCAATGCTCCAAGGAAAAGAGTCCCAGCCTATTAAACCCCCCCTAAAACTCAAATAGTATCCAATTCCTCCAGCAATTTCTGTTTTCGTTCTATATTATTACATTTGTTCATTTTCTTTCAGTGTCTCACTGACTCTCTCCATGGTGTTAGCAATCATTGGGTATGAACAGGAGCCACTGGGCAGCTTTCCCAGTCTTGACTGTAGTCATCCAGAAGTGTAGAACATCAGGGCTGTTTCTGATCCTCCCTCCAGCAAACAGACTTCAAATTTACACACAATCACTTACACACTATCTCCCACTGACACTTAACTCTCTGTCGCTCCCACACACTCTCCTTTGGTTACATACGCAATCTAGCACACACATATCTGCTGACATTCACACACACTATCTCTTGTCTATTCACATGCTTTCTCTCTCTCTCTCTTTGAGGCACATAGAAATCCACCAAAAATCCTCAAACAGCACCTTCCGAACCCATGACCACTTCCATCTAGAAGGACAAGGGCAGCAGATACACGGGAACACCATGCCCTGCAAGTTCCCCTCCAAGCCACTCACCATCCTGACTTGGAAATATATCGCCATTCCTTCAGTGTGGCTGGGTCAGAATCCTGGAATTCCCTCCCTAAGGGACATTGTGGGTCTACCCACAGTACATGGACTGCAGTGGTTCAAGAAGGCAGCTCACCCCCATCTTCTCAAGGGGCAACTAGGGACAGGCAATATTCATTGGCCCATTCAGCGATGACCTTGTCCCGGGGGTGATTAAAAAGAACACTCACTGTCCCTCAAGCACACACACACAGTCCCTCACTAACACACACACATGCAGCCAAACATGTACAATGAGCCTATCCAGTTCGATTGAAAGTCACACTGGGCTTGAAACGCTAACTCTGTTTCTCTCTCCTCAGATGCTGCCAGCATTCCAGCAAGGATATTTCTCCTTGGGGGAGAATCGAGAACTAGGGCTCATACTTTAAAAATAAGGGGGCTCTGATTTAAAACAAAGAAAAGGAAACATTTCTTTCCCCTCAGAGGATTGAGAGTCTTTGGAATTCCTGTCCTCAAAAGGCAGTGGGATGTAGAAACTTGAAATATTTTTAAGGCAGAGGTAGATAGATTTTTGATGATCAAGGGGATAAAAGATTCTCAGGGAATAATGTAGAGTTGAGATTAAAATTACCCTGTCTCCTCTGAATGTGGGGAGCTCAGGGCAAGGGGCAGGGCCTGGAAATTTGAGTCATGCCAATCCAGTTGTAACGTCTGGAAACCCTTCTTCCAGCCGCAGAACAATCGAAAAGGCACACGGAGAAAGAGGCCATTCGGCCTATCAGGTCTGTGCTGTGTTCAATAAACAAGCCATCCATTCTAGCCCCTGGTGTGTAGCCTTGCAGGTTCCTGACCACCAGGAACAGATACAAGTTCCTTTATCATCAGTTTCGGCCTCATCCCCTAAACTGCAGAGTGAATTCATCACCCCATGCATGGAAAAGGTTCATGACTAATCCTTCGACCTTCAATCCCTTTACTCTGTTCCCAAAGGGAAGTGGAAATGGGGTACATTCTCACCCTGACCCTAAATCCCCAGAACGTTGTCCATACTGAGGGGGCAACAATAGGTGCAGGTGAGGGATTCAAGGCGAAGGTGGGTAGATGAGATTCAGGGATACAGGGAGAAGGTTGGGGGGTTTCAGCAAAATGGGGAGAAGATGGGTGGTATTAGGGATTGCACTCCCTCAGCACTGACCCTCCAACAGTGCCCACTCCCTCAGCACTGACCCACCGACAGTGCGGCGCTCCCTCAGCACTGACCCTCCCACAGTGCGGCACGCCCTCAGCACTGACCCTC